CCCCCCCCCCATACACACACACGTTTTAAGAGGAAAACATATTTAGAGACATTTACTATAAAGCATAATACAGATCAAACAGAATGCTAAATGGTAATCTCCACTGTGGTCTGGCACACAGAAATTTCCTGCCAAATGTTTTGGTAACACTGTATGCCACTCGTAGAGTAGGAAGCAACTGGAAGCCCACCCAGTCAAATCCAACTCCCAAATACTACCAGGTTCTCCCCACTTCACCCGTACTAGTTGTTGACCTGTAGGCAAGAGGAGTTAAGGGAGTATTTGAGGATTCAAACATCCTGAGCATCACTTCGTTTTCTTTTGCAGGAAAGTGCCAAAAAACTTGAACAGAATGTGTACTATTTTGGAGTTACAGTAGAAGGCTTACTGAAAAGGTTTGGCAAGGTAACCAGGGTTTTCTGATAGGGAACCTAACCAGATAGTCCTGCTACTAAAGAAGTGAGGTCTGACTCATGAAAGCTTATGCTGAAATAAACTTAATCTTCTTAAAGGTGTCACATGACTCACATGTATACCCTTCTGAAATGTCGCTCAAAAATGAGTTCCATTTTCATTCTACAATAACGAAAGCTATAATGTGTATGCTTGAAAAACTCTCTTCTAGCCCAATAAATAACCTTTCAAGCTGCAGGGCACCATAAAAACACACACACTTAAAGATCACGTGTCAGAAAGAAGAGAAAATCAATCTACGTTTATTCAATAATCTGAATGGTAGAGCAGCCTCTAGTACCGTGTAAAATGAAATAATACTACCATTTTTGCTCATTGGATATATGAATACAGATAAAAAAGGATTTGGTATCTTGATCTTTTGAAGCCTGCTTCATTGGGTGCTTCAGCAGTTCAGAACGATGACTGACTGAACTATTTGCATGCGTGCTTTCTTTGTTTTGTTTGGTGCCAGACTATTGTGGATGAGCAGCTGGTTCTGAAGAGAGTGGCAAACATCCTCATTAATCTGTATGCAATGACAGCTGTTCTTTCCAGAGCTAGCCGATCCATCAGTATTGGTTTGCGGAATCATGATCATGAGGTGAGTGCACCTGTGGTTTCTCTGACTGTGACTAATGTGGCAATCAGACCTTTCAGCATGAATGACAGTGTATTAAGTAGACGTGGGTACTAGAATATTTTTTACTGTTGACATCAGCCAGATAGTTGCATTTGTACATTTTTAAAAATTTATCACATGTTCTGTTGCAAAAGCACCCTATTAACAGATTCTATTATTTCACTACGAAGAAAATGTAATTGGGGCATTAATTGTGTAAATTGTGCCCATCATCCAAAGGCAGTTTGTGCTTAGTATCCAATAGGATGAGGCTAAGCCAAGGAGATCGACTACAATTAGGCCTCACTTTGAAGCATTCCGGCTACAGTTTTATGTTCTCCTAGCAGAACCTAGAACAATCATGTATAAATACTAACACACGGATACCACAGTAAGGTTGCTGCACAACATACACAGTAAGTTGTTGAAGTTGCTCAGAATTTGGTTTTACACCATAAAATGGCTGATGGGTAAGTGTAAGTTACAGAGGGCTTCTTCATGAAGTTTGTGCTCCTTAAGTGAAGTGGCATGATCAGGTTCTTACTGCACTGAAGGGCCCAAAATCAGTTCCGTCTCTCTTGTCAGACTTCAGCTGTGGGGGCAACAAAATCTGTGAATAAAAGAGAGATGGTTAATTTCTGTTTACTGGGCACACATACCAAGGTTTATTAAGGATAGAAACTGAATGGGTAGAGCTTACAAGTTCTCTGGTTCCTGATTTGCATCCCTGATTATGAACAGATAACATTTACAATGAGTCACATTTTAATAAAGTATTTACGCAAAAGTAGTATTCAAGCCATTAATGATTAACTTGCTTTCTAGGTGCTACTTGCAAATATTTTCTGCTCTGAAGCTGGTTTCCAAAACAATTATACAATGGCAGAGTTAGACAAAAGTAAGTGTTACAATGTTGCCAATTACCAACATTTTCAGTTGGTAACTAAAAGTTTAAGTGCAAACAGCAGGCACTCTGTGCTATTGCCACTGTTCCCTTTCCTTCAGTGGAAGAGGGCATCATTGTGTGGACTACTTACTACTACATTTGTTTCAGCCATACTGCTATGCTAATTAGCTTTGTTGACAAAAAGTCCCTCCCATTATACTTCTTGCAGGGAAGAGATCTCTGTGACAGAGGAACTCAGCCTGTTTTGTGAGACAGGGTAGTATGGAGAATGGATCACTTTTCTTCCAAAAGTTTACCTTACAGTGGATCTGATATTGCCCTCTTTATATTCCCATCTTGACCACACCCCAAGGGCATACCTTGGAGTTCTGAATCTCTCTACATTTCCTGCCTGCTATAGGAAGAAATAAAGGTTCTTAAGCCACCACCAGATGGATTCAGGATTGTGTCACACTAGCATGTGAGATGTTTGTTAGTGCACACCCCCCCCCCTCACTGTTCACATCTTCTATTCTGGGCATCAAAGCTCTGGTGGAGACTATCTAGGATTAATACTGCTTATTCCCATACAAGTATACTCTTCTACAAGGATGAAAAAAAAGAATGCTAGATTTATCATAAGTTTGTTCTCTTCGGTGAACGCAGAGTATCATACCTGGCTTTGTTAGGAAGGTCTTCCTGTTGAGGATTGGGGGAGTGGGCTCCAACTTGAAGGGTGTTCAGTAGGGGTGTGCAAAAAACCCGGTATTTTTTAGGGTCAGGTATATTGAAACTGAAAAATGTTGGTATTTCCTGATATTCCTGAATCCCAATACCAGTGTGGCATTCAGATTTGGTAAATATTTGGGAAACCCCAATTTTTTTGCTTTCATTATACCCTATGGGGACCATTATAGTCAATGGTCCATTAAAGGGTATAATGGAGAATTGATCCAGAGTTATCTGGGGCTCTTTGGGGGGCTGTTTTTTGAGGTAAATTTGCAGCAAAGCTGATGGTGCCTCTCCTCACCACCAGGAGTCGAATTCTGTGGGCACCCACAGAAGGTGCCCCTATCCTCCATTGCTTTCAGTGGAGGGGAAAGGCATTTAAAGGTCTTGCAGTCCCTTTAAACACCTCCAAGCAGCAAGTTCACCTTCAGAGCTCAATCACTGCAGAGTCATGCAGCTTGGAGGAGGCATTTAAAGGGACTGCGGTACCCTTTAAGCTTGGCTATGTGGCAGTCCCAAAAATCCCTCTGGACCTGGCCATTTCGGATAGCTGAAATTAGCCCCAATTAACAACCAGCTCTAAAAATACCCAAACAATACTGCACACCTCTGGAGTTTAATATAATTTGAGAGATCTCCTGCTCTCTCATTCTGTCTCTATACAGAGCTGTGTTTTGCTGCCATGAGTTGTGGTTCTTCAAGTAATTTTTTTTTTTAATCACGTTTGGAATTTTGTTTATTGTGCAGTGTCCTGGAACTGAAGGGGCTTCCTCCTGTACACAGACCATATAAAGCTAACTAGCATAGCCTTATTTGTGAAAGAGACTGCGTGGAGGAACCTATACAAGGCTAACTTCATTCTGTCTGTATCACAAGTCGTCCAGTGTTTGTCTTGAGCAACAGGGTCTTCTGGTATCCATTAAGAATCTAGCTGTCAGAGCAAGCTTTAGTATGTTGCCCATTCCAATAATTGGTGCTAATGTGGCAGCTGCTAGTATCAGCTGAACAGCTTGTGTTTATAGTTTTGGATTTTTAACAACTTGTTCTCTCAATACTGGCTCTAAACAAACTGTTAATTGTTTCAATTATCTGCAGATGCTCCTGAAAACATGGATGACAACATTAAAAAAGTGGCAAGGCAGGTGCTGGAAAAGAGATCCTATATCTGTTCCCACCCACTTGAAAGAACATTCTGAAGGTGGAAATGGCAACAGGATTGCAGTCTAAGGTACTGCTACATAAGGGCCTCATGGTATTCAGTACCGGGTCCTTGTTTCACTCTTGGTCAAGAGGCAGAATGAACAACTGATACACTGCACAAGAAGAATGTTTTCACAAGCTGTAGTGCAACTTTTATAAACAATGTTCTGTTTATATGCTTGAGTCCAAGTGTGAATCCCAAGATGAGAACCATATAATAGGATGGGGAACGGAACATCTTATTTCTTTGTTTCATTTTTTAGAAACTTGATCCTCATCTGCTAATATCATTTCTAATAATGACACTGATCTAGTCATCTCCATTCTGATGTAACAATAAAGAAGCAAGTTGCTTTCTCCCCCAATCTAGTTCCTAGATCTGGTTTCTAGTTTACTGGTTCCTACTAAACACTGCCTGTGTAAAGCTCTCCTTATACTTAACCTATATAGGGGAATGGCAGCAATAACGTCTCCCTAGCAATGTCATAGTGCCTGAAGTGTTTTCTCAATGTCAGTCTTCACAAGTGAGGTATTTTTGGAGGTTTTTCTCTGCCTGCCAGATAACAATTGACTGCTCATATGAATGTTGAATGTATAGTATCACTGTCTGTACTACCCCAAATTCACCTTCCTCCTGCTTGTCACCTGATGTTGGCATTTCATTCTTCAAAACCCATCTCTCTGGACGTTTCTTCATGTAGTTAAATGAACTGTTATGACTGCTCAATCTGCAAAACAGGAAAGACTTGAAAACTGCAAATAACCACTGCAAAAAAGCATCAAGAGTTTAAGAAGTTGAATATTCATGAGCTGATTTCTTGTTGAAAGCCTGACAATTCAAAGCATGTAGATGGTATTGTACATATCTTAAGAAGAGCTGTATCTTGAAGCTGCTCCGCTACACACACTTACATATCCACAAAGAGAAGTCTTTACAGCTAGCTATTGTTTTCCATTAGAGAAAAAGACAAAGCCTTGCTTTAAAGAGAGTTCTTTTTAACAGCTCAAAGCAGGATTTCCTGGGCTTGCAATCCCAAAGTAATGTGTTCTTAATTTAAACAGGTTATTGTAACTGTAGGTCCTGTTGTGCTATTCAGTAATCCAGGTGGAGCAGAAAACGTAACAAGGCACGCTATTTACTCTAGGGTAAGGCAGAGAAGACAAAAATTAGCTCTCGTTTCTTGCTTTTCGTGCTGAATGCCAACTGACTGTAATGCAACACCCCTGAGCCATAACATGTCATTCTAAGGGTAGTGGCCAAGCCTAATTTTTCTCAAACAGTTTTTTTCACACCAAGTGACCATGTTCCCTTACGTTCCCATGACCAGTTCTTACTGGGAATTGTTTGGGAAGGGACCATTTGTAACACTCGGCAGATATGCGTATTCCAATTTATAAAGCCCTCTTGGCAGTCCTGAATATTGTAGAACAGCTGTGTGACTTACCTGAAGTCTGCTCCTTTCAAAGTTTTGAACACACTGTATTCCCTGTCATGGCAGGGAATGACATTTTTGCTCCACTTCAAGCTGTGAAAATCATCATTGCCTGGGATGAATCCTCTGCAGATGTCACTCTCTACCCTTTCTAGACTTCCCACAACTGGTATATCCTGATGAAACAGAAGCATTTGGTTTCTTCTGTTAAACACAGTCACTGAACCTCTTTAAACTGAGTACATTTTTCTTCGAAGTTCATAATCATAGGCTACTAAATTTACATGAATGGATTCAGCACTGTGTCATTGTTTTGTCCAAAGGCAAATACAAAACTTTGTTTTTTAGCTTGCTATGTACTTGGTTAGCATTCTGACTGAAGGTTAATGAATAAGCCATGTTCCATATTTTGCAACGCATATTAAATCATAATGGCCTCAGGAACAACTGCTCAGTTAGAAGTTCAAAGTCAGAACTCCCTAAGTAGAAGATTTTACCTGTATACTTCTGCCATGGCTCTTCAAGGCCAATTTCACTGGTTTATCTTTGAGGAGGCCTTGGAAGCGGGCTAGCTGGCAACTGGCTTTTGGTCCGCTGGAGATGAGCTCTGTTGCTGGAGAGCACCTGTGAACTTTGAATGCTGTGTTGCAACGTGCATCCTTTTGATGCTCTTTTGTTCACAAATTCGTCCATTGAAAAATGATGCACAGAATTATAAAGCAGGTTTTAAATACAAAGTAACCTTCTGGTAACAAACAGTACACCTATTTTAGTTATGAATGAAACATTTTGTCCATGAACTTCTGAGATTGTCTCTATATAAATCTTCAAGTCTGGGGCCAGCGGTGTGTATGGGGTTACTAAAGACGGCAGCATAGATGGCTTTGACCATTGCTACTGTTCCTGATTTTACAGCTTCCTAAGTTTTAGTTAGCTTTAACTCCTTACCAAGGGCCACAAATCATATTGATATACCCAACTAATGTACACAAAGAGGTGGTGTGTCAACAAAACTACAGGCCTACTATAGGTGTTCATTATTCTGTTTGAATATGTGCATCAGATAATCATGATGTTGCTATTTCCTGTTGTTCTCCCCCCCCCCCCAATTACATTATAATGATGGGATTGAACAATGATGAAAGTGACATCTATGCATGGCAGCAGAAATGTGGGAGCCCCTTTTCCAAGCACTGCTCTAATATTTAAAGGTCTGGAACCATGTGGGTTCTTACTATAAAATGATTACCTGTGCGCATTACACCTGCTCCTTGGGATAATCTCCAACAATGACTGGGATCCCACTTTTGATACCGAGGCCTTTTTAAAAAAAATATGGCATGGGGTGTGAAGGTCTACTATTCAAGGAAAATCCCACTGGGAATACCCAACCCCCTGGGTATGTCTGTCACACCTCTCTGGATCCTAGCATGCTGGATAATGGTCTTATTTTTATACCTGATTTACAGTTTCAGGAATGGGCAGCTTGTCGAATATCTAACATCCTACTGGAAAAGCATATGGAAGGCAGCAATTACCAATAACATAGGTGTCAGGGGCCACAAAGGAATATAAAGGCTTTGTGAAAAGGTCAAAATCAACTTTCCGCTTGTCCCAAGTCCATCTGTCACGATCCAGCACTGGCTTCAAAATGCTTCTATGAAGAATGTTCTCTTCCCATTTCTAAATGAAAATATCAGCCTTTTAGAAAGCATTTCTACTTTACTGCACTTCAGAAAATTCACCAAAACAGCAAAAATCCTAATTTTTTAATATATATGTTATTTATGGTCTGTCTTTCTCACTGAGACCCAAGATGTATTATATAATGTAAATCAGTACAATCACTAGGATTACACTGACCTACATTATGTAATCCACCAACAGGGCCCTGACCGGGATACCTAAGGCTAGTCCAATCTTATCAGATCTCAGAAGTTAAGTGTGGTCAGCCCTGGCTAATACTTGGATAGGAGACCACACCAAGGAAGTCCAAGGTTGCTATGCAGAGGCAGACTATGGCAAACCACCTCTGTTCATCTCTTGCCTCGAAAACTCTATAGGGTTACCATAAGATGGGCTGTCTAAAAAAAAAAAAACCACCAATAGGATAAGGAGACACCTAAATACAACTAGGATTGCAGAAATTTGAAATAACATGTAAATATTAAACAAGAAAAGTTAGATAATGCAACAAATGTTCTTATGTAAGTAGAAATACAATGTAGTGCGTGCAAGATGAAAACATACAGCAAAAGATAATACACAGTAGTAGTAGTAATCTACAGTCCCATTCCTTCTATTGAAATGTTTTCTTGAATCCTTCTGTTATAACACAGCCCTATTCCTTTATAAAAATGCTGTCTTCAACACTTCCACTTTATATTGTCAAAAGACAAAGGTGTGGGAGCCTTCCTAACCTCATCAAGCAGGTGGGGGCAGCTACAGAGAAAATGTGTATGGGCAGATGATGATCTTGCACATTTACAGGGTACCATGTGTAGAACGCCATGTTCAGTTCAATGAAGTCATGGCAGAGCACAGAAGGCGAGGTGGCCCTGCACATATGAGGGTCAGTTTCTAGACCCCTTTGTTGTGGAGACATATGCCTCTCCCTAAGCTACAGGGGGTGAGCCTTAGCTGTAGTTTTTAAAAACGAAAGCTGGGAATTCAGAGAACCTGGCAGGTATGCTACTGTAACATTATAGAACTGTAATAATTTTCAATTACTGATTTAAAAACACAAACATTGTAAAAGCCCACAATAGTGTGGGGAGGTGGCTGCTGCTGGGGAATTGGGGTAGAGAAAATGTGGGGAAATCATCTGTGTGGAAGCTCCACTGCTGCAGTGTGTCAGCAACTGCGCTAACAAAACCTCATTCCCAAGTGAAAAAACAGCATGAAGAGATGCAAATCATTCTCATGTCTTTATTTGCTTAATTTATGCCTCGACCTTCTCCCCAGTGGGAGCCCAACGTGGCTTACATCATTCTTGTCTTCTCCATTTTATCTTCAGAAGAACCCTCTGAGGTAGATCAGAGTGCATATGGGCTAAGTGTCTGTGAATGGCCTAAATAGGCTCAGCAAGCTTCCATGGCAGAGTGGGGATTTTGAATTTTGGTCTCCCAGATCCCAGTCTGACACCCCCACCACTACAGCGCTCTGGCTCTGCATTCTTAAAGCTGAGGAAATGGATTAAGTGGGGGAACTACAGTATCTAACTTGTGCACAGAAGGCACATGACGTTTTCCCAAGTTCTCCATTCCTGCACGGATGGTTGGAGACAGGCCATTATTTGTGTTGATGGTCCAAATTTTTTTTGCATAGTAACGTTAAATGCAGGCATGAAGTATCTAAGTATTTCCACTGAATCTGTGTAACTAAAATAATGTCCAAGCCTGCTCTGATTTCTCGACTGGCTCTACTGCCACCATGAACTGGAGTAGGAAAGGATCTGGAGCTTGGAGTGGGGAGACAGATGCGTTTAGATAGGTGCCTTCAGTATAATACTCACTGGACATTGTTCTAAGAATAAAATGCCACTCTGCATAGATTAAAACACAGCAAAGAAGGATGTAGAAATTTAAAACTCATAGTTACCTCTCTTAGCTCCGCTAATCGTGCCTCATCAGGCATATGACAAGGCATGTTGGATTCGAAACTGCTCTTAAAGCCGGGAAATACAAACCCTTGTGATGTCAGCCACTTCCTCTTTGAAAGGGCAATGGATTCCTTTAGTGTACTATCCTTATCCACTGGATCAAACATGGCAGACAGATATTTGTCAGAATAAGCGTACCTTTTCCCTGGTTCCTAAGGAAGATAACCATTATTAAGTATTTCTGCATGAGTTCTTATCCCCTTGAGTTTATCATAGCCCTATGAATTTAAAAGCTAAACCGCATGGTCACCCTTATCCATTCTATGCATCTTTGCTACTATTGAACAGATATGAATCCAAATCTGGAGGCTGCTAAGAACCACAGTAGCTTTCTTGTCCTCAGGCTGTCTCCTTAAATTTCCATTTATTTACATATATCCTGCCTCTATCTTTGCTCAAAGGGGAGGAGCTGATCATAAAGAGAAAACAATATAAATAAAACCGTTCATTCTCCTCTCCTCCATCTTATCCTCACAACAACCCTGTGAGGTAGTGTGACGGTCAGGAGCTGTTCAGCCCCTGGAGGGAAAAACAGCCACTCAGCGGAGCTCAGGGGAGTGCTGCTCCAGCATCCCATCAGCTTTCAGAGGAGGGACAGAACACTGGAGGGAAGACCAGTGGCAGTCAGTTTTAGGGTCTGCCTCAGCAAGATGGCAAACGTTTTGAAGAGTAGCTCTGCCCTTCAGAGTGGCAGAATGGTGAAACTCTACCTCTGGGAGAGGTCAGAGTGCCCGTGATGAGCAAACCTCGTCCCATTTAGTCTGACACTTAAGAAAGGGCAGGCTGGTGTGGATGTGTGCGCGTGTGTGAAAGGATCCAACCCGGTGGCTAGTTAGTGAAAGCTCGTTTGTAACCGCGAGCATTAAAGAGATTTCATCACATCACATAACCTTGTTTTGTTGAAACTCCTGCTTCCATTATCACTCTTCATGCTTAATACAAAACTTACGTCATAGTGACCCAAGCTACCATAAGAGCATCTTGTAACTGAGGGAACGATTGATATCATGCAACCAAACTGGTTCCCAAAGGAGCTGTGTGGATCCCCTTGGTTTAAAGAAAGGGCCTGTCACTGGTAGGTTAGGCTGAGGGCGTGTGACTGGCGTAAGATTACATGGCAGACTGGGGACTCAAACCTGGACCTCCCAGATCCTAGTTCAACTACATCACACTGGCTAAACGACTAGCTCTTCCCTTGAAGTCCTGCAACTGCACTGTTTCCCTTTCAGACACAACCAAACTGCTCAAGCTGATAGTATCCTGCCCAGGAAATACCATTTTTTTTACAAATTAAAAATAAAGCAGTTGTGTGTTTCGGGTTTTGTGTGTGTGTGTAATGAATGGGTTGCTGTTGGTCTATGCACAAATAAGAGCATGATGTCATATGGAAACATGAAGGGGGAAAAACCCATACCAGTCGGGTGGTTGAAATGTGCAAAGACCTTAGGGTGGCATCAGTTCTCTAAAATATACTTCAGTTAAGAAACAGCCTCTTACAAATAGAAAGAAGCTAAAATCTCAGAAGCTTTAGTGAAATAATGTGGCTTTAAAAGGCCTGTGGGATTTAGTCAGTATAGGTGCCTATTCTGAGGCAGACTGTTGCTGGAACAAGCTTCTGGTGTCAAGTTACAGCATCTTTCCAAGTTCCAATATAAACAAGGCCAGAGGAGGTTTCAGAAACTGAGTGTGAACAGGTCAGGGATCAGGTATACCAAGAAATCAGTCAAGGCAGTGCTGGCAAGTTCAGCATCTATTACCCACCAGCTCCTCTCTATCACCCAACTTCTCTCAGGAGAGTTTATAGCCACCAGCCTCTCAGTAACAATCCTGCAAAGATTCATCTTCATTATCAGCTGGCGCTGAGAAGTGAGGTGTGCACTCCAACACTTAACTTGTAAGTCTGTTCTCAGCCTTCTTCTGTGGTATTCCAAGGGTGCTGGTGACCGTAGGAAAGTGGGGATGGGTGGTTGGCCTTCGAAGGCCCGATCAGAGCTGGAGGTTGAAGGTGATTCTATACCAGCTTTCAGCTGCGAGCCAGGAATGCCTACACTTCATTCCCCTGCTGGCTGGCTCCTGTGGGTCGCAGGCTGGCTACACAGGGCCCCTCCTCCTCTGAGGAGTCCTCACTATTGCCGGACCCTGATTGGTCCATGGATAGTGCCTTTCACATCTCCTCTGGAAGATTATTCCAAAGGGGTGGGCACCACCACAGAAAATGTTGAGGCACTTACAGAAACAAAATATACCTCCCTTTAAAAAGTCATTTTTTAAAAAAAGTTACTGGCACAAGATAAAGTTAGCTGGGGGTAAGGAGAGTCTACGCACAGTTAGTACAAGGAGAGAACCATCCCAGTGCTCATGTTTTTTGCAAATTTAATTAAATTAGATAAAAATAATGGGACAGTCAAGAATATGAAAGGTCTCTGTATGCCTTAATACTATCAGGATTGTACAAAAGAACAAGACTGAGAACCCTGAAATGTCATCCCATCAGCATATGACTATGACAGTTATAGGCACAGTAACCAAAATTCACAAAGGCTTAATAAAACTTGCCTCTATTATCAATACTACTGCTTTTCATTTGGAGGAAGAAGTGCTTTACTATGCTACCCCAGACCTTTGAACCATGAGTCTGGGGATACTGTGCAGAAGCTCATGCTCTAGGGATTCTCGTCCTCTCCAAGATCTTGTTTCCTGTATGAGAAGACACAACCTTTGTCTAACTGAACCAGAAAGAAATGTGTTTTTTCTTTCTTTTCCAACCTTACTGGCATCAAGGGGGGGACAAGGGGTAGATAGGAAGGAAATTCAAAAGAAAAAAGAAGCCAAACTATCTATTTGGGTCAAAGGTAGCCTAGCTTATTACAGAAAGGCAGAGCTAAGGCGGGGGGAGGGGGGGACTTGCTCTCTCTGTCAAGGCAGAATGTGAACTGGGTCAGGACTCTCCATTGTAGATGAGACAGGAAATCTGCCCTCCACGTCCAATGGGAGGAATAATTCTCGGTCAATGAGAGTACCTTTCATAACGCTGGAAAAGAGCATTACGGCAAGTCTAAATGTTTCATTCAAAAGAGTTAAGATCAGCAACCCAACCCTGTCCAAGTTAACATCCATCCAAAACAGCACTATCTTGTACCGGAGACAAAGCTCTAGAGAAAACCTCTATTTGTTGGTACAGAAAACCTTAGGATCTTAATGATGCAACATTAATCTAGTGAACACAATACTGCGCATTAAAAAAATCAAGAACTCAAGTCCATCTTCTTTTCGCTTACAGATTATTTCCAACTTTACCTTGGATTTGTTTAAATATTTATTAACAATCTGGCCATCGTGTAAAACTGCTAAGGTGAGTGATTCAAACTAAAATAATAGCCTGTCCATAATGAATTCTACTGAACCATGATTGCTCCATTTATTAAGATCTCCTCTTATCTTCTAAATTGATACATCAAAGTCAGATTTCTACCAGTTTCACATCTAGCTTCACTTCCTGTTTCAAAAAGGATATGTTTCGATATGCTTTCATGTATCTTATAATCTGGCATGTTGCCATAGTCATCAATAATCTTAAAAAATACATCCAAGTGCATACAGAGACTGTTCTAGATGACAGAGGGCATCCCTATTTAGTATCTTATAACCTTACAGCTAACTGATGGATCTCACTTGCATTATCCAGGAGTTCCACATCAGATTGCTGATTACAATATCCTTTCCACCATGCAAGAGGAGACATACATATAAATAAGAATTTTATCTTCTGTTTTGATTTGACCTGCACAGCCAATCTGGTGAATTCATAACTTTATTTTTTTTTAGTTATTATGTATTTGTGGTTTTATTCCCCCCCCCATTACAAACTAACAAAACATTTATGTAATCAGTCACAAAATTCTTAATCATAATCATCTGAAAATCATCCATTCATTATTATTACTTCTAAGAGCAGTGAATTTTCCCACAGAACAATTAAAAAGCACTAGAAAATTTCCTGTCTCACATCTCTGGCTAGCACCAAGAATGAAGCTAGTCCTGTTTTCTTACCAGTGCCATCTCCTGACGAAGCATATGCTTTGCGATTTCTGCAGAATTCAATTTCTGAATGCTGTAGTTGAAGACAGACTTGCCATCAGAAGGGAGAGCTCTTATAACACCAGAGGTCTCCTTTTGCATCATCTTACTAAGCAGGTTCACATTCTCAATATTAGCCTGAAATAAAAGTTAACATGCTAACTGGTTAATTCATTAAAGAAAACAATGCACTCTGGAAGATAAGCTTTTTTTTTTTTTTACATTATTGATTACTCCACCGTTCTCTCCAATGTCGACCTAAAGCAATTTACATCATTCTCTTCTCCATTTTATCCTCACAGTAACCCTGTGACATAGTTAAGCTGAGAGTAGGTGACTGTCTCAGGGTCACCCAGCATGCTTTCATGGCAGAATGTTCAAACCTGGGTCTCCCAGATTCCAAGTCGGCACTCTAACCACTACAAGACAACAGAGGCAAAGCCAGTGAGTATGAAAGGCAGAATAATAAATATCATATCTGGAATGTATGGTTGACATAACACCTTGAACTCATAAAGATAGGTTTAAAAAGGTAAAGGTTCCTTTGCTTGAAAGCCAGTCGAATCCGACTCTAGGGTTGCGGTGCTCAACTCCGTTTCAAAGCCGAAGAGCCAGCGCTGTCCGAAGACATTTCCGTGGTCATGTGGCTGTGGCATGACTAAACACCAAGGCACACGGAACGCTGTTTCCTTCCCACTGAAGTGGTACCTATTTATCTACTTGCAATTTCTTGCTTTCGAACTGCTAGGTTGGCAGGAGCTGGAACTAGAGATGGGAGCTTACTCCGTCATGGGGCAACTCGGGTCTTGAACTGCTGAACTACCGACCTTCCACAGCGTGTATTCGCAGTGCTAGGTACATGATCTACTGATGCTATGCACAATCCAAAGTAAGGAGTGGTACAAACAAATGACCTTGCCGCAACTGAGAACACACAAGTTGTAAATCATGAGAGGCAGAACAAAGAAAAGACCGAGCTCCCCTTGAAGGAACAGGTCTGTTGTCTGGGGGTGCTCTTAGACCCAGGCCTGTCGCTGGATAAGCAGGTGGCAGCTGTGGCCA